AATTAAAAAAAAAAGTTTTTGCCTTCTGCAGACCTCCCCTAAACAGCCCATTTTTCGTGAAAACGGGCCCATTTTTTTTAAAGGGCATGAATAGCCTTTAGGAGGCTTGTAGAGTGCTCCTGGAAAGGCGGGGGGGCAAAAACAAGCAAAAATTGGCCTGTTTTTTGTCAAAAAAAAAAGGGCATCCGTAGTCTTAAGAAGGCTTCCAGAGTGCTGCTGGGGGAGCCTGTTTTTCGCCCTCCCCAGCCCCCAGGAACCCCCTGGAAGCCGCCTAAAAGCTATGCACAGCCATTTTGATGAAGGGAGTGAGGTTTCGGGAGGCAAAAAATGCTGTATTCAGTGTATAAGATGTACCCAGATTTTCAGCCTCTTTTTTGAGGGAAAAAGGTGCAGCTTATATTCCGAAAAAATATGGTACTCCATGTAGTGTTCAGGTCCAGAAATGCTCATTGAATTAGGCAAACTCCTGATATATAGTATATTGTCTGTAAATACAGACAATGGAATTACAAGTCATAATGATTATTTATTTGATGGTTTGTATCTTTCCTTTATTACGTTTATAAATAATCGAAGGTGGTGAACATATCCAAAATAATTTCATTCTGATATTTTCCTTCCAACATAGCCTTCCACACAAACCTGTGAGGTAGGTTGGGCTGAGAGAATGACTAGCCCCAAGTTATCTAGCTGGTTTTCATGCCTAAGAGAGATTTCATGCAATCTCTCAAATCTGGTGCCTTAACCACTAGGCCAGTAATGGCTAACCTTTTGGTCGTCACGTGCCAAAATTTCACATCCGCATCCATAATGTAATGCACGTGCGATCCCCGCACATGAGTGCATGAACCCCATGCATGTTTGCATGCACCCTGCACATGCACCCTGCCCCCTCTCACCCATTTCTGGCTTCCAGGTTGATGCAGGAGGCTTTCCAGGCCCAAAATGGGGTACGGGGGGCCCTCATGTGGGATCCCTGGGCCTAGAAGGCCTCCTTCACCAACCTGGAAACCAAAATGGGGCGTGGAGCACCATGCAGAATTAATGCAAGCACCCCCCCCAAGCATGCATCCACCCCTGCGCATTCACATGCGCCTCCCCCATATACACCAACAGGCCTCGCGCATGCAGGGCAGGGACCCAAAGAGCAGCTGGTCGGCGGGAGGCTTGCACGCATGCCTGGTGGAGCTGGGCTGGGGCGACAGCTGGTGTGCCCGTGGAGAGGGCTCTGCGTGCCACCGGTTTGCCATCACCGCACTAGACCAAACTGGTTCTCTTTGCTGTGAAAATGTATTGATGTAATGCAAGAAACTGACTGACAGCTTTGGAGTCAGCCTGATTTACTTTGGAGCGATCATTTTGATCTTCAGCACTGGACAATAGCAAATGTCTGTATTTTCTATTTGGTTTTATTCAGAAAAATGGAATTCACCATTTAACCATGGAATTTTTGTTGTAGTTGTTAAGCTATGGGCCAGTTTTCCTGAAAAACAGAAATGCCAGTTTTTTGCAAAGCCATCATAAACTGCAGTCATTGACTGTGTATGGTAGTAGAAACAAATATAAGTGTAAATGTGGTTGTCGAGTGTCCAAAGTGTGATCATGTGACTGTGGTGGGGTAACCATTGGAATTTTAAATTTGGATTGTTAATACCCTCCTGATATGTGCATTGCAACTTTGAATTTATGGCCAAGTGACTGGTCTTAAGTTCATAACTTCCTAACAATATTTATGAAAGATCCATTAAGGGGGGGGGGGGGAGACTTCTGAGCTTCTAACCTCAATTTTTTTTAATGTATCAATTTGGTTATTTTAGGAGAGAATTCAATAAAATGTGCAGTCAAAGTATGATGTTTATTTAGCCATTTTTTATTTGAATATTTTGTGACAGGAGCCCCCTTTTGTGGGAAATACTCTTGCTATTGTTTCAAATAAATTACAAAGACTTTGGCAAAAGAAATTACAGTTCATTTAGTGACTGTTTGAAGGTACACTTACAACTATTGTCACATCCCCATGGTCACATAATCAAAATTCAGATGTTTGGCAACTGGCTTGTGTATGATGGTTGCAGTGTCCCAGGGTTATGGGATCACTTTTTGGACCTGACAAGCATAGTCAATGGGAAAGCCATATTCACTGAACAGTGATCTATTTTTAAAAAATCTATAGGTTGGTTGATATCAATTCGCAGATATAAAATATTTGAAAACAGTTCTAGAGGAATTAGGGGAATTTGTTCCTTATCATGCTAAATAGCCCATGCTTGGCCTTTGGCCTTTGGGTAGAGCTACTCTTACCTTCAGCAATATTTTCATAATATTTAATATTAAATCTAATATTCCATCATAGTGAACAGTTATTGGACGTATTCTATGATATCATTTCAGATAATAGATTAACAGAGTTGGAAGATACCTCGTAGGTCATCTAGCCCAACACCCCACCTACCCATTACACCATTTCTCACAGATGGCTGTCCAATCTCTTTTTGAAAGCTTCCAGTGAAGATAGTCAAAGATTATCACTGTGTTCCAAAGTTTTTTGTTTCTTTTGAACAAGCTATATCCTTCAACTGTTGAATTTCAGTTATCCCAAAACCTGTATCTAAGAAATCATATTTGTTTTCCTATGATGAGATTTGGAACACATTTGATCTATTTCAGCATTTTCTATACTCTGAGCATTATTATACAAAGACAAAGAATATGCCTTCCTAATTTTTCATAGAATGTTTAATAGATCCTACTATAGTTTCTCTTTTCACTTCCTTTGGTAGTTCACAAGTCCTTATTTTAAGTTTAATTTCCATCCCATACAGCATTCATTATTGAAGAAACTGTTTTCGTTAACTCCAGTGTCTCTGAGAAGTGCACCATATGCTAGCTATCCATCCATCAACCTGGTAATACAGGCCTTGGTCCCAGAAACTGACATCTTGCCTTTCCGTACCATTTCTGTAGCTAATCATTCATCTGCAGCATTCTGTTTTTTTCCTTTTCAGTCCTCTTTCTTGGATTAGAAGGATGAGTGAAGACATCTGAGCTCCTATTTATCTGCTTTCCTCCTGATATTCAAAAGATAACCAGAAAAGACTCCAAGTCTGTAGACTTCAGATGTCTTTGCAGCTATTCTGTCATATCCTTGATCTATACTCCCAGAAAACAGTATGCTTCCAAGCCCAACCAGCAAATATTTATTTCTATTCTTCATAGACGAGTCATAGAAAAGAGTCATCAAGAGACTGGACAACCACTTGTCTGGAATGATATAGGGCGGTGATGGCAAACCTTTTTTGGCTTGCATGCCAAAAGGGGAGCGCAGGGGGGTTGCGCATGGGCATGCCACACCCATAATGCAATGTGCGACCCCAAATGCACATGCGTGAATGACCAGTGCTTTCCCCGCATTTTTTGCATGCTTTTTTCGCCCTCCCCAAGCTCCAGATGCTTTATAGGAGCCTGGGAAGGGCGAAAACAGCCTGCCCTGGAACAGACTTCTGGTTTGTTCATAGGGCTGGTTTTAGCCCTCCGGAGCCTTCAGGGACGTTCAAGAGGTTTCCCTGAAGGCTCCAGAGGACAAAAAACGGCCCTACAGACAAACTGAAAGTGACTTCTGGTTTGCTCGTATGGTCGGTTTTTGCCCTCCAGAGCCTTTAGGGAAGCCTCCGTTCCCGAACATCCGGTTTGCCCATAGGGTTGTTTTTTTGCACTCCGGAGGCTTCAGGGAAGCTCCTGAAGCCTCCGGAGGGCCTCGGGGTGGGGGGGGGGAGGCTGTTTTTGCCCTCCTCAGGCTCCTAAAAAGCCTCTGGAGCCTGGGGAGGGTGAAAGATGGCCTCAAAAAAAAGACTGAACTCAGTTGGCCAGCACACGCATGTGCGCTGGCCAGCTGACAGGGCAACGCCTCACATGCCCGGACAAATGGCTCCGTGTGCCATCTGTGGCACGCATGCCATAGGTTCGCCATCCCAGATATAGGGTCTCCTACTTGAGCAGAGGGTTGGACTAGATGATCTCCAAGGTTCCTTCCAACTCTGTTATTCTGTTACTGACCATCAAAATTTTTGTTCCCTCTGGAATGTAACACCAACTCATTTCACATTCAGCAGGGGTCTAGTTACTCCCCTTTGTTTCTTCTTTAACTAACTAAAAGCTTTGAGTTCCAGTTGGTAAAATTTCTTCTGAATCTGTTTCTCATTCTAATTCATTGAGACTGTACCTCTGTTTTGCTCTTTTTTGTCACCTCATATACAGGTAGTCCTCGACTTAAGACCATAATTGAGCCCAAAATTTCTGTTGCTAAGCAAGACATTAGTTAAGACCTTTCTTAACAGTTGTTAAGTGAATCACTGCAGCTGTTAGTAACACGGTGTTAAGTGAATCTGGCTTCCTCATTGACTTTGCTTGTCAGAAGTTCACAAAAGGTGATCACATAAGCCTGGGCCATTGCAAGTGTCATAAATATGAGTCATTTGCCAAGCATCTGAATTTTGATCACATGGCCATGGGTTGCTGCAACAGTCGTAAGTCACTTTTTTCAGTGCCATCGTAACTTTGAATTGTCACTAAATGAATTGTTATAAGTGGAGGACTATTTGTATCTCAATCTTAAAGGCCTCTATCCTGAGGTATATTTACTGTATTCATTTTTGAGTACTTATAATGGGTTTATATTTCCTGAATATGCATACTTAATTCTTTCAAGATAAGAAAAAAAATGTTCCACAATTTTATACATCTTAACTGCAGTTATTTTCTCTTTTGTCTTTTGTGTTGTTACCTTAATTGGAAATTTCTTAGACGTCTCATACTTGAGTTTCCATACTGAATTTTATTGTGAAAATCCTGTTAGCTCTCCATTTGCTAGACGGTAGGATACCTGTGAGACGCCAAGCTGAACCAAGTAGAGCTAACACTAAATGTGCCTTGGAAAAAACCCAAGTATCTCAAAATATAATCGTAGGTATGTCCAATTTGATTACATTTGTCTTTTCTTTCAGTTTTAGGCATTTTCCTTTCTGAAAATGGGAAAGAAGCTCGACCTTTCCAAGTTAACAGATGAAGAAGTCAAACATGTCTGGGAAGTAGTTCAGCGGGACTTTGATCTGCGCAAAAAAGAGGAAGAGCGTTTAGAGTGAGTATTTAAAACATAGTGACTTGTCAGATGAAAATGCAAAGTGGGTGTTTAATATGCATTGCTTTCAAGCTTTTTTTAATATTGAACCATATAAAAATAATATTAAGGAATATAATCCAAATTTTATCATTGCAAATGATTTATTCATATTTATAATATTGCTCATTTAATAAGCTGCTCTCTATTTGTTTGCACACACACACACACACCATGCAGTTGTGATGCTAGAAAAATCTCTTAACAGCCATTGCTTTTTTGATATGTTTGATTGTTTTCTGAACCCATAAAAGAAGAATATGAGGGAGAGTGGAGAAAAATTTGAATGACTTATAGTAAGGTTTGATGTGTGAAAGCGTTGTTTGATTTGATAGAGGCTTTGGCTAGACAGGACACATTGCCATATATCACAAAATATATGCTTTTCAGTGCTGGGCTTTGTCTTGAAAATCTAACGTCAGTATGGGAAATAAAAGGGATAAATATTGAGGAGACAAGAAAGCCCAATTCAGCCTTGTTAAAGGTTTTATTTATTTTGTGGGAAGAGTCTGGAAATGACTCATCAAAATGGGAGGCTCCTTAATGTATACATTTTTATTAATAACTCTACAGTATCCATAATCAGAAAAATAATATTTTCCTATGTCCATGGTGAGCAGACTGTATTCTCTGAGTGGTTCAGGAAGAGGAACATTTTGGCAAAAAAATGAGAAATCATTGTCGTTTAATCATTCTAAATCTCCCTAGGCAATTTAGACTTTGTATGTTCACATTGCAGAATAATTCAGAATGGATTTTTGTACTAGGTCTCTTAGGCCTTTCTAAAAAACAGATGGGTTATTCTATCTATCTAGAATTATTTGGGACCCTGGAAAGCTGCCCCTTTTGCTTCTACTATCCACTGACTTTCAGTGTTAAGCGAGGCTTCTGCTCTTCCTCACATTTTTTGAGAAAAGCAGCAACCTGAATTATAGACCCTAGATCCTGTATGTAATTCAGTCAATTTATTGATTTATTTTTGTTTGTCTCAAGTACCATAGCAATCAATATAGCTTACTGTGTAGAATAAATATAGGCAATAAAATCATAACAACAATGTCACAGTTTAGTATTAAAAAGCCAAGAGTTAATACCAGTGCAACATGTAGAGTACAAAATTAAAATAATTCAAAAATCTGCTGAAATAGAATCCTTTTAACTGTTGGCCAAATGTCTTGGCTCCTACATTCAGGATCTTCCTTGCTTCTTAAACAAGCTCTGGTAGTGATCATTTTTGTGAGAGAAGATATTGTTTTCAACACTCTGAACAGAAATAACTATGTTTTAGGACAAGGGCCCCCAACCTGTAAACCATGGCCCACTGCTAGGCCGTGGCCTATTCGCAATTGGGCTGCGTAAGTGGTGGCCTGGCGCACATATAGCCCCACTCACGTGAGGGGCGGGTGCCAGCCGTCGCAGCCCTACTTGCCAGTTGGCAGCACTTGCAGTCCCTCCCAAGCTTCGACACAGCCCCACTTGTGCAAGTGGCATCCCAAAGTCTTCTCTCTTGTGTGAATGGAAGTGTGGGCTGGCCCGCCACTCTCACAGACTGGTTCCCCTCCCCCTGCTGGGCTGCCAAGTCACCTGCTCCCAATACTCCAGAAGCAGAGTGGTGAGAGCAGAGGCTGAGTAGGATGAGTGTACCCTGCTCAGCTTTGCTGACTCGCCAAGGCTGTCCTGGGCAGGACACCCAATCTGCTTTTGGAGTGTCAGGCAGCCTCAGTGAGTCTGAAGGAATACAAGACCACAGCCCCGAAGACCTCAAAGGCTTCCCTTATATCTTGTGTGAGTGGAGCTGTGCTTCTGTGTACTGGCCCACCACTCATATGGCCCAGGAATTCTCTCCTCCCCAGCTGGGCCACCGTCACAAAGGTTGGGGATCGCTGTTTTAGGAAATAAGTATCACTTCAGCTGGGCCAAAAATAGACTAGATTTCCACCAAAAACTAGTTCTGATACCTGAGATTTCTAAATACCTTATGAGGACTTTTCTACTCAGAGTATGCTGTATCCAGCCTGAATTAGTGATTGCAGCCAGATTCCCTCTTAATTATTTATAAGCATTTAGAGGCTACAAATAACAAGAGACTTGCAAATAATCCAGGCCTTCCAACAAATGGCATAGCTAAATGCATCAGGCGAAGAAGAACATTTTCTTGGCAGGAATAATGATTTGTGCATTCAGATTCAACCCAGTTCCAAAATTTAGCTTTCCCACTTATCATCTGTATCTTTGCTTTTGTCTTGTTCCTTTCCAAATTAGGTCTCTTCTGTCTTTTTTTGTCATTAGATAACTGCTACCTGTTGCAATTTCTGTATTGCTGCTCCAATAATGATATATATTAGAATATGAAATCATAGAATCATAAAATCCTAGGACTGGAAGGGACCTTGGAAGTCTTTTAGTCTGACCCTCTGTTCAAGTTAGGAGATCTTATACTGTCCCAGACAAATGGTTGTACAATCTTTTCTTGAAAACTTCCAGTGATGGAACACACAAAACTCTGGGAGACAAGTTATTCCATTGGTTAATTGCTGTCAGAAAATTTCTTCTTAGCTCCTCAAGTACTTTTATTTTTTTATTTGTTTGTTTGTTTATTTATTTATTTATTTATTTATTATTAGACTTACACACCACTTCATAGGGCTTTCAGCCCTCTCTAAGCGGTTTACAGATTTTTTAGCAAATTGAGTCAGCAAATTGCCCCCACAGTCTGGGTCCTCATTTCACCCACCATGGAAGGCTGAGTCGACCTTCAGCCGGCGAGATTTGAACCGCTGAACTGCAGATCACAGTCAGCTGAAGTGGCCTGCAGTACTGCACCCTAACCACTGCGCCACCTCGGCTCTTTTGAGAATAAGTCAACCCCCTCATCTCTGTGACAGACCCTCGTGTACTGGAAGATAGTTAATCATGTCACCTCTAATCCTTCTCTTCATTAGGCAAGATGTACTTAGTTGCCTTAACCTTAATGTAACTTAATCTGAATTTGAGAACAAGTATCAATTGTGCTGAAATTTCAAGAGACTATTGGGTAATAAGAATTTATTAAACTTGTATGCCATCACAACAATCAAACAAAAATTACAATAAAAGCAATAAAAAGTTGGCTAATGGGTTGAAGTGAGGGGGGTCTCCCTTTTCCTTGCCAAATTAATGGTTTTAGTGAATTAGTGATTGCTGCCAGATCTCGGGAAATCTCTCACAGGGTAGGTGCTGTTTATAGAGAAGGTGGGCTTTCAGGGTCCCAATAGATGACATTGTTAATCAGAGTAACCCATAGGATACCAATCTTGCAGGATTAAATTGGCTGATTAGATTGTTACCAACAACAGGCAACCGGTGACCAGGTCCTAGGCCAGTGTTGGCTAAACTTTTTTGGATCACGTGCCAAAAGTGGGAGCACAGGGGAGTTGTGCACAGGCATGTCCACACCCCTAATGCTATATGCACGATCACAGCACTCATGTGCGCGCAACCAACACAACTCCCCTTTTGGCGCACCTTTTTCGCCCTCCCCAGGTTCCAAAGGCTTTCTAGGAGCCTGGGGAAGGAGAAAACAGCCTCCCCCCGGAGGCTCTCCAGAGGTTCAGGGAAGTGAAATGACCTGGTTTGGCCGTAGGGCCATTTTTCACCCTCCGGAGCCTCCTGAAGGCTCCGGCGGGCAAAAAATGGCCCTACAAGCAAACCAGAAGTCTGTTCCTAAACTTCTGGTTTTCCCATAGGGCCGATTTTTTGCACTCCGGAGGCTTCAATAAAGCCTTAAAAGAAGGCCGAAGTCAGAGCTGACCGGGCAACTCTTTGCATGCCCTAACAAATGGCTCTGTGTGTCACCTGTTGCCATCACGGTCCTAGGCCATATACCTTTACCATCCTAATTGTAGCTATAAGCTTGATAAAGTGAGGCAAAAATAATGATGAAATGTGAGATGTGAAGTACCAGATTCCCCTACATAGAAGCAAGATGCCCTGATCTACCAGAATTGGGTAGATGTAATGAATAAATAAATGTGGTGGTTCCCATCATGTTTACTTAAGATGCAGAAGGTCTTTTCCTACCATCTAATTATGGAGCCAGTTAAATCACTACCATAAAATGAACTGGGTTTCATGAGTAGACAGATAGTAGGAGCTTTCTCGAGTTACTCAATTAAGTTATTTCCTATACTATAATAAAACAGAATATAACCTCCTCAAAGCAGAGCTCTCTTTTTTTCATTGGGTTCTTTTATGTTGTAAAAAGTAAATGCAAATGATTTGATAGATGTTATCTTACTACATGGAAAACTTACATTTTAAAATTAAACTGATAATCAAGTTAAAGTTCAGCATTTATGAAATTATTCACATTTAACTCTTGCATGCTTACTCTCCCAAGCTGCTCATTATGTAAACAAATGTACTGTAGAAACCTAAGATTACTTTATTGTGCTGATATCCATAGACAAAACAGTTTCAAAATATCAGCTATTTAGGCACTGATATTTTTCATATATACACATGCTTAACTTCTATATTTGACTTGCTGAGCCCCTAATTTAATCTCCTTTTTTGTCTGTGTACACAATGTGTTTGCTTATTTGGTCATACCTCCAGACATTTGCGAAAACAGAAAAAGCAAACATCTCAGTGCACTGTTGCTGGATAGTATACCACAGGAGCAACATTAACTATGTATATGAAAATTTTCCAGTTATACTTTCCAGTCCTACCCACCTGGAAATAAGCCATCAAGGACCTGTCCTACAGTGCAAATACTACATTCTTTAATCTTCGCCTCAAAGGCAAACAAAAGATGCTGTGTATTTCTAGCTGTGCTGAAAGCAAGCAGAAGTCTATCAGACAACCTGGCGGATCTGTGCTGGTAAAATCCAGCTTAAAAGTGTTCATTTATGTGAGATGTTGATTGTAATATACTTTTAGTTCCTACAAACTGAAGGTACTATTCCATATTCCTTTACGGGGCAAAGATTTTGACTTCAGCCCAGGGCAGGAAAGGAAGATTTAAAGCCGTCATCGCTTAAGTGCTGTTGACCCTTATTTAATTCTAAGTAGATGCTGATTGTTAGTTGAGTAGATTTCTGTACATAAGCTTTCAACAATAAATCAGTTTAATTGAACCTTCATATGTGGACTTGCTCTTTCATGCCTGACATCCACTGTGCAAAACCTTTCTACTGGATTTGTGCTGAAAATACTCTTCAGATGCCTAAACCACTATCAGAAAGAAACAGAGCTATCCATGTTACTCTTAGTGGGTCTTAAGTAGCATTCAAATTTTGTGACTCAGGCATATTCTTATTCAGCAATTAAGAACCATCAAGAGGAAGCCCCTAATTTGAACCTGACTTCTGCTAATATGACCTAGGAAGCTATATTTTTTTTTACCCTTAGCTATCCACCAACTTAGTAAATAAGACAAAGATGATGATGATGATGATGATGATGATGATGATGATAGTTTATCACATAGGGCAATAATGACATCAATAAAAAATATGAACTTCTAAATATTTGTTTTACAGGGAAATATCACAAAAGATAGATTCACCAGATTTATTCAGAGGATGTCTGCTTTATACTTTGAGATCTGTGGTTTTAGAGTATGATGTAGATAGTAATCATGTTCCATGGGAAACCCATTTTTTCCCTCATTTAGTCTAGATGACTAAGCTAAATAATGAATGTCATTTCAAAGTAATACCCAAATGTAGTCTCTTGTTCCCACATTTTTTGATGTGCTAAGCCACAGAGTTGACATCTAACAAGTTAAAAAGCAAACGTAAATCTCAGACCAAGTGGAGGGATTGTTTCAGTGGCTTCTTCTGTCTAAGAGTTTCTTACTTTTAACAATTTTAAGAAGCATGGACTTCAACTCCCAGAATTCCCTAGGAGACAGGAATTAAAATCCACATATTTTAAAATTGCCATGATTGAGAAACACTCATCTATCTGGATTAGTCTCCCTTTCCCTTCTAGTGAACTGAAGCCAAACTTTAAAAGTAATTCAAAATTATGCAGAATTACATCTATGGAGATTCTCTGTGATTTTAAGAGTTCAGCTTTACATGCACAGCTCGGTGGTATCTGCCCAACCTTTGTAAACCTTAAAAAGTTAATTTGAACCTGGCTACAACTTTGTGGATGACTAGTCAATGCCAGGCTTGTACATTATTAAAAAAAAATTCAGAAGGAAACCATTCTTGTTTTCTTACAGAAAAAAACTAGATAGATATAACTATTAAATCATTAGGGATATCGTATTTGGAGAAACAGTAAGAAAATTTTAGAGTGTTCTTACTATAAGAAATGTGGAGAGTGTGCTTGGAATGATTATGTTGTAGGATTCTGTGAATATTTTAGGGGAAGTCTCTTTATTCAGTTGATACCACAGAATAATAATAACCCAATTAGTGTAATCTCTGTCCAAGAAATCAGATTCAGTCAGTGGCTTTATTTAAAGGTTAAACAGCATGAACATAAAAGTTCAACTGTCATGAAGGCAAGAAAGGAAGATTCTGTCTTCTGAAAATGGCTCATAGGTGGGAGGGAAACCACCGCATTACTATGTTGTGCCCCCAATAGCAATAGCAATAGCAATAGCAGTAGACTTATATACCGCTTCATAGGCCTTTCAGGCCTCTCTAAGCGGTTTACAGAGAGAGCATATTGCCCCCAACAATCTGGGTCCTCATTTCACCCACCTCGGAAGGATGGAAGGCTGAGTCAACCCTGAGCCGGTGAGATTTGAACCGCTGACCTGCTGATCTAGCAGTAGCCTGCAGTGCTGCTTTTAACCACTGCGCCACCTTGGCTCTTCCTTGCGCCACCTTGGCTCTTCCCAAATGACAAAGCCAATCCAAAAATGATATTTTAGGGTCCAGAACAACTTGACATGGCTGGCTCACTGCAGCTAGTTGCCACTTCCAACAGAACACTAAGTGTTTCTGATAGTACTGACTACAATGGGATAATTCGGCCTGGCCAGCTCAGCAGGATCAGCTTACCTCTGCCAACGTGTCACCACCAAGTCTCCTCTGCCAACTCATCACTGCCAAATTGCCGTAGGACAACTCCACGTTGTCAATTTGCTGCAGGGACAATTCACTGTGGACAGCCGGAGGGAGAGCCAGGCAAGCAAGCAAATGATGGACAGAGTAGTGGCCTTTTTCATCCCCATATCACCTGCTGCCACTCTGTGCTCTTCCCTTCTGCTTCCTCAGTCACTTGCCCAGCTCTGCCTCCAGCTGCCCACAGCGAGTTGTCCCCGTGGTGAGTTAACTGTGTGAGTTGCCCTGTGGTGACTTAGGAGTGGCAAGTTGGCAGAAGCAACTTGGTGGTGGCAAACTGACTGCAATAAGCTGGCCCTGCCCATCGGGCCTTGCTGCGTTGTCTCATTGTAGTCAGTACTATCAAAAACAGTTAAAGATCCAGCAGGATCCACAGATTTGTATTTTGGAAGAGAGAAGTAAGGAAAGTACTAGATCACAGGTCTCAAAATCAGTCGCATCACGTGATCATGACATTTTTTTGCCTTTGAGCCCGGGTGGGCATGGCCTGCACTTGATGCATCTGGCCCGTGGGCCGCCAGTTTGACACCCCTGTACTAGATTATTTCATTCCATTATCTTCCTTAAATGCAGCCTGGGTCAGTTTCATCCAGAATCATAGAAGACTTTAGAGTTTTTTAAGAGCATTATCCAAGTTGATAAATTTACTTCTTTGCACCAGACTCCAATCTTGATGACTGTGTGACAATGGCCTCCCATCCATATCATTTCAAATAATTTTTCTATAATTCTGATTAGGAAACAACAGATATCTGTCTCCAATCTAACCTCCTGCTCCCAAGCAAAAGTGGGAAACAAAAATAATGAATATTGGCTGAATATGGTTTCAGGGTTTCTTTTCATTACCAAGTATATGGTCATGCTCCAGAAAATGCTGTTGCATCCTTCCTATTCAGCCTTGCAAAAGTGAAGATACAGCCAACAGAGCAGGATTAGAAGACCTGACGTTCTATGTCATCTGGCAGTGGAAGGCCCAGGTAGAGAAGAGTTGGGAAACAGTGCCTGAATCATAACATAGAAATGTTAATGTTGACGGGAGGGAATGTGCTTGGATGGTGGGTTGGAGATGGTCCTTGATGTCATGGGTTGTCAATGTCATCTCCCCTGAGTTCTCCTGGAGCCTTTAGTTGGACTGATCGTTTCTAACATTTGCACACTCTGGAGGGCTTGCAGTTTTCAGAAATTCATGCTTATATATGACTGTGAGTGGTGTGTGATAAACAGATGATGGTGTTTTGTTTGTTTTTCCCCCCCCAAAGGGATCTAAAATGCAAAATTGAAAAAGAAAGCACTAAGCGGGAGCTATTGTCCAGTCAATCCCACCTCAACGAAAGACTCTGTATCCATTGCCTGCAGCCCTTTAAGTTTCTATTAAACAGCAAACGCCAGTGTTTGGACTGTCAGTTGTACATATGCAAAAGTTGCAGCCAGTACAACAAAAAGGACAAAGGTTGGATGTGTGATCCATGCCGCCTAGTTAGGTAAGTGGGCTAGACAAGAGTTTTGTCATCTCCTTTCTTTATTACAGTTCTGACTAGACATTAAGTGGTAACTTTCTGAAACTTTTTAATTTCTCATGTGAAGCATAGCTTTCATGACTTAGCAAGTCTTACAAAGAATATTGTGTTTAGTTTTGGTTCATTTGAATTTACTTCCCGTTAGTAATGCTGTATATCCAGAACTGAGAACTAGTCCTGATGAGAGAAAAAATATAAAGCCTGCATGGTGATGAATTACAAACTGTATCCTTTTAACCTTGTGATCCAATGCTGAATGCAATTATATAAAATTTGTGTCATGCTGTTATAAAGTATGTTTCATCACTTGTTATCCCTTCTCTCTGTGGACATCTATGAGAGTAGAAATTAGAGGAAGGAATAGATTGGGTGGCGGGGAGGCAGGGAGAGAGAGAGAGATACTAATACTGACATCTTCCATTATTAAAAGAAGGAGACGCTTAAACTATAATTATCCAGAGGACACAACACATGTCTTCTGGATAAGCTTGAAGCAGCTTCCCCCCTCACCCCCATTCTTAGAATATGAGAGTTTGATCCACTTTCTAGATTGGCAAATATTTAACACTATGTTAAAAATGTTTTAAAATATATGTATAATGACATATTTTTCAAAGTTAAATGTGCAAAGATAAGAGCTGTGCCTTGTCCTTGTTTTGTCTTTTAAAATGCTAAAGCAATAAAAGTTTTAAAATCTTTTTAAAAATCCTATTTTTTATGGATTTTCCACTGTTATTTATGGCCAATACTTCTGTTTTATCTGCCTCTTCTGCTATACTTTAGCAGCCATTTTCTTTTTGTTCCTTACTTCCTAGGCCATCAAAAACTGGCAATACTAAGTAACTAATCAGATTTACCCTAATTTCTTCAGCAACATCATTGCCTTGATAGTCCTTAATTGATGTGTATTATTCATATAAACTTATAGAAACACACAGATAATATGAATAATCCTCATCAGTTAGGGACTATTCCATATCTAAACAATACCAAATGTGGGATATTGTTTAGAACTTTTCTGAACAATGGCTCTTACTTTCTGACTCAATATCACATTATCTTACTTCAAACCTAAAGGCAATTCTCTTTACCTAGAATAATTTTGAGAAAATGCAGCCTTATGTTTGCATTATTCATACACAGATAATTAATGCATTGTATAAAAAAACCCTTAATCTTGATACTTTGAGTCAAAAGTTAAGAAAAATGTGAGTAACTGGTTGTTTAAAGAGTTCCCTCTTAAAATGAGAACAGTCAATATGTAAATTGTATTTAATTAATTTATTAATTACTTTTTATGTCACCATCTCCCTTTTAAGACAACTTTGGGTTGGCTTGCGGGTCACATTGGTGTTGAAACAAATTCAAGAACAGCAGGACCCTGTTTTTTCTATTTAGATGAGTACCCTGAATATAAGTAATGTATTGACAGTCCTCAGGTTTATTAGTTACATTTGAAAGCATTATCATTTTCTAGAATATTTTCAGTCTCCCTCACTGAAACCAGTCACGATATTTTAACTGATAGAAGATTTGGAAGAATTCATCCTGGCTAACATGTGTACCGTGTCTCATCTCTTGGACAGGATTGTCAAAACTGGATCATTGGAATGGTATTATGAACATGTCAGAACTCGTTTCAAGCATTTTGGGAGTGCTAAGGTGATGCGATGTCTCTATGGAAGGATGTCTCATGGACCGAAAACAAATTCTACTTCGCTTGGTATGAGCAATGGTCTTACTGAGATCTTCTCAGTAACTTTCTTTAGAGAGCTTGGAAGATTCTATAAATCACGGGATACCGAATTAAATAGCACATCACTATAATTATCTCTGAATAACTGCAGTCTATTTCCACATATTACATTACTCTCAGGCCAAAGAATGTGGTTTTCCAGCTGCTTTGATCCCCATCAACTTTATTTTAGAAAGTTAATAACTACTGGGAAATGGTTTGGAAATAGTGAGTTGGAATGAGTTATTTGGTAAGTATTTCATTTTAAAATTAGGGATACCCATTTGAAAGTAAAAAGACCCACTATTCTAAAGATAATAATATGAAAAAAATTGAAATAATAAGTTGTTTGTAACAGTGAAAATACCAACTAAGTGTTTAATGGTCTTTCATATTTTCCAGCATTCAAACTTGGTATGTTGTGTCAGGAGATATAATAATAATATATGGAGAGATAATGTAATAATGATTATATAATATCACTTTCTTGATTGCTTCAAATAAAGTTTTGTGACACAGTCATACTGCCTCCAATATAGTAATTGAAAGTCTAATTAAGAGCTCCAGTGTTTACTCTTACCTATATTTTAGATTAGTAAAACTAGGAATATTCTGTTCTAAAGAATCATTGATTTCTACCATCCTTTTTTCTCAATGACCACAGAATAATTACCAGAAATAATACAACTGAAAATTGTACCAAAAATATACTTGATTGATAAGCAGGAGTTTCTAAACAACAACATTGCAAAATGTAAGAAGTTGTCATTATTATGCTATGCTTTTTATTGAAAGGAAGCATCTTGTAAATATAGTAGTTCTGTATAGGGTGCTTCAGTTGGCAAGGGGAAACAATGCTTCAGAGAATGTGACGGGACATGTATAGCTCCATCATTGAAGCTGCACAATCCCAGGGGAATGTATTTTTAACTTAAGAAATTTAAGATAGGTCTGTGCACTTGAAAGCATGTTTTCCCTTGAATGCAAAGAATTGCACAGCCCAATTTATAATATGTATGTTTTTAGAACTGAAAATGTCACAAGAGATTGAAAAAACTATTAAATGACTATATACATCCAGACCAAAATGGATTTCTCCCGACAAGACAAATTGGAATAATACCAGAATAGTAGCAAATATTTTAGAGTACTATGAAGTACTATATACTCTACCCAAAGGGCAAATATATTATTTAATGTGGAAAGTACAGAGACCTTTAAAATAATGAAAGGAGAAAGGCAGGGTTGCTCACTATCACCTCTGCTATTTATCCTAACACTTGAAAGTCTGCTAATAAGAACTGGACAAAATTTGGAGATAACAGGAACTAAAATTAAAAGAGAGGAGTATAAAATTCAGGCCTTTGCAGATGATTTATATAAAAAAGACAAATGATAACTA